CCTATTTCGTTTTCTTTCGTCTCTATCGTGATTTAACCGTCTATCTTTCGGTATAGCTTTCTGCCTCATTAATCATATATATATATATATATTTTTTTTTGTCTTCATTTTAATATTTTGATTTTTTTAATTATTTTTTTGTATCATTTATTATCATGTTATCATGTTATGTCTGCCATTTCGGTTTATTCATCGCGTGGAAGATTGTATAAGCAGGATGTCAATGAAAACGAAACGGTTGAGAGGAACGAGAGGAAAAGAGAAAAAAGAGGTAAAGAGAAACAAAGAGAAGTATAAAGGAAGGGAAAATTGTTTAAAAAAAAAAAAAAAAAACGGAGAGAAGAAGGAGGAGGAGAAGAAGGAGAAAAGCCGCGAGAGGAGAAGAAGGAGAGGAATGAATAAAAGTTACAAGGAGAAGGAAAGAAAGGAAAGGCGGAATGAAGAGATTTAGAAAATTTGTAAAACAGGAAAAAAAAGATTTTTGCCTTATGATTTTTCTGTTTTTAGAAAGAGAGAAGAGCCAGAGTTAGAGAGTAAGAGCTAAGATGAGAGAAGAGAAGATTAGCATGGAGATGAGGAGAGAAAGACGGCAGAGAGAGCGAGGACGATGAGAGGAGATGAGAGGTGGGTCCGAGACGTGGTGAGAGAGAGTGAGAAGAGAAGAGAACAACTAGAGGAATAGGAAGAGAGAAGATGAGACTGGATGGAGAGACAGAGATAAAGATGAAGTACCGCAGAGAGAGAGAAGCCAGAGAGAAGATGAAGAATGAGAGAGAGAGCCAGACAGACGCATGAAGGAGAAAATAAAAATTATAAAATAATAAGGTAAGAGAGTTAGAACAAAAATTTAACTAAAGCGAAAAAAAGTTGAAAAAAAATAAAAATAAAATACAAGAGAAAGAAGAGAAGGAAAAATGATTTAATAAAAAAAATATAAAAAATAATAGTAATAAAAGAACAGGGGGAAATTTTTTCAAACCCAACAAAAATAAAACCAGGAGAAAAAAAAAAACGGGACAACGCAAAATAAATACAAGAAGAGCTAGAACTATAGGCTAAGAGCAAGCAAAATAACAAAAAAAATAATAACAATAAAACGGAGAAACAAAGAAACAAAGAATGACAACGCAAAATAAATACAAGAGTTAGAACTATAGGCTAAGAGCAAGAAAAATAACAACAAAAATAATAACAATAAAACAGAGAAATAAAGAAACAAAGAATGACAGTCCAACCGATCTGTGTTCAATACCGGATCTCATATCAAATATCAATCATCGTGTTCATCTGATGTTCCCATACATGCCAGAGGGTATGGCCAGTTCTCGTCCCTCCTCTCCCCTCTCCTCCTCTCTCCCCTCCTTTTCTTTTTCTCTCTTCCTCCTCTCTTCCTTCCTCTCTCTTTCTCCTCTCTCCCCTTATTTCCTTCCTCTCTCCTTTCCTTTCTCTCTCTCCCCTCATGTACTTTTTCTCCTCTCTCTTCCTTTTCTCTGTCCTCTTTTCCTTCCTCTCTCTTCCTCCTCTCTCCCCTAATTTTACTCCCTCTCTCTTCCTTTTCTCTATCCTCTTTTCCTGTTTCTCTTCTACACCTTCTCATGCCTTCCGCCTCTCTCTTTTCCATTCTTGTTTCTGTTACTGTATTTTGCTGCCGATATTTGTAGGATAATAATGATTAGGATGATAGTGGTGATGATCGATTGATGATGTGCTAATGTTGATGTTGCTGCTGTGTGTTGTGTGTGTGTGTGCATGTGTTTTTGTGTGTGTTTGTATGTGTTTGTGTGTCACCAGACCCATTTGTTGCTCTATTCCGACTTTTTAATCCCAGTTAAAAGCACGGAGTATGCACAGTTAAATAAACAAAAAAGGAAAATAATTGCAGATATTTAAAACATTCTTTTGATTTATATTAATTAGATCGGTATAGTAGCTTAATATTTAAAATCAAGAGGTGAGTGACATTCTATCCTATATATCAATTCTTTAGACGGTTGTGAAATCCCACTTCCTAGAATCAACATTTGAACTTTGAGAATAAACTATTATTAGAAACAGATAGAAGAATGAATTGAAAGAGATTCTCAATAATATTTAAAACACAGACTTCCTCTTGGCACATGAAAGTCCTTTGATAAAGTGAAATAAGTTCAATTGAATTCCAGCAATTTCAACACGTGTTTCCTCACACAGTTATTTCAATAAACCTTTGTACACCGAGTTTCATGGCTTTCCTTTGAAGAAATAACAAATGTTTTTTTTTTTTTTTTTTTTTTTTTTTTTTTTTTTGCAATTGCTTGACATGTTTGTGGGTTTGGAGAATGCTAGTTTGTAGAAGTCATAGTGATACTGAATTAATCTATGATTATGGTAATTATGATGGTATTAATGAGATTAATCATATAATAATATGATGATAATAAAGAAAATTCCGGTAATGATGATGATGGTGATGATGATGAGGAAGGATTGTTATGAACGAATAACAGTAACAACAGCCATAAGAGTAAAATAGTAATAATAATAGTGATGATAATAATAATAATAATAGTTAATGATAATAATAATAATGGTTAATGACAATAATAATGATAGCAAAACTATTATTAATATTGGTATTATCATTATTACTATTACTATCATTGTTATCAGGATAACAATGGTAATGATGGAAATTACAATAATAGTAATAATTACTATAGTAATAACAATAATGATATTAACAAAAATAATAGTAATGTAATTAATACAATGATAGCAATAGCTATAATAACAATAATGATTACAATGATAGTAATAATAATGATAATAATACGAGAGATAATGATAATATTGATAATGTTAATAATACTAGTAATAATGATGATAATGATAATAGTAAGGATAGCACAATAATGGTTATCATCATTATAGCAATGATAATAATGAAGATAATAGCAATAATGAGAGTAATAACAGCAATAATAATAATAACAGGAACGATAATGATAAAAATCAAAACAGTAATTATGATAATGATAAATTCTACAATAGAATGGAATAGAAGTAACAATATGTATAATGATATGAATACTAAATGATAATAATATTGATAAGAAGAATATCAATATGTCTTATTATCAAGACAAGAACATTACATCACTACTGATAAAATTCAAAACATTAACAAAATACTGATGATGATAACAACAAAAATGGTAATAATGCAAATGCAGTTGAATAAATGAAAATGCAATAATTACTGTTCGGTTAATTGGAATCCTCCTGAAGTATATCTCTATATGAAGAAGAAGAAGGAGAAGGAGAAGGAGAAGGAGAAGGAGAAGGAGAAGAAGGAGAAGGAGAAGGAGAAGGAGAAGGAGAAGGAGAAGGAGAAGGAGAAGGAGAAGGAGAAGAAAGGAGAAGAAGAAGAGAAGGAGAAGGAGAAGGAGAAGGAGAAGAGAAGAAGAAGAAGAAGAAGAAGAAGAGAAGGAAGAAGAAGAAGAAGAGGAAAGAAGGAGAAGGAGAAGGAGAAGGAGAAGGAGAAGAAGGAGAAGGAGAAGGAGAAGGAGAAGGAGAAGGAGAAGGAGAAGGAGAAGGAGAAGGAGAAGGAAAGGAGAAGGAGAGAAGGAAGAAGAAGAAGAAGAAGAAAAAGAAAAAGAAATAATAATAATAATAATAATAACAAGAAGAAGAATAAGAAAAGAAGAGGAAGAAGAAAAAGAAGAAGAAGAAGAAGAAGAGAAAGATGACGAAGAAGATGAAGATGAAGGTGAAGATAAAAAAGGAGATGGAGATGAAGAGGAGGAAGAAGAAAAAGAAATCGCGAAAAGTAATACAGCTCCATAAATGCTGTCCTTTGCTTATCACTTTGATAAAGGGAGTATCAATTCAACCGCCAGCTTTGACAACAGTAAACTTAGGAGTGAAGCTATATTTGCTTTATAAGTTTGAAAAGGAAGAGGTAGATTTGCGCAATTCGTAAATAAAATACCTTGATTTTATAGTATTGTTGTGATTATTATGATCATTATTGTTTTATGATTATTATTATCATTATTATTACTATTATTATCATTCTCAAAAATATTATTATCATTATCACTATTGTTATTATTATTACTATCAATATTATTATCATTATTACTGTTATTGTTATTTTCATCATCATCATTATCCTTATTATTATTGTTAATATTATCATTACTTCTACAACCACCGTTTTTATTATTATCATTACCATTTTTATCATTGTTATTAGAATTATCATTATTACCGGGGTTATCATGATCACTATTATCATTACTATCGTTATTATTATTATAACCAATATGATCATTATCATTATTTTTATTATTATCATTATCATTATTATTATCATTATTATCACCATTATTATCATTATCATTGTTATTATTATCATTATTATTATTTATTATTATTATCATTATCAGTATCATCATTATTACAATCATTATCATTATCATTGTTATTATCATCACTATTATTGTTGTTATCATTATCTTTATTATTGTTGTTGTTGTTGTTTCAGTTGCTGTTATTATCTGTATCATTGACATTAGTGCACATACTATTATCATTTTTATTATCCTTAACAATATGATAATCATTATTAATATCGTCATTGTCATTGTCATTATCATCAGGATCATTTAATTATTATCACTATCATTATTATTAATATAAACATTATTGTTACAATGGTTATCCTCGTTGTTACTTTAATAATTTACATTATAATTTTATGATTATTAATATTGTTATCATCCTCGTCATCATTCTTATTATCATTTCCATTATTTTTGTTGTTGGCTGTGCAGCGGTTCTTCTTTTGCAATTAACATTATCACATTGGTGATTATTTTCATCCACTATTTAATTACAATTCTCATTATCAATCAGTGTACTATTACTTTTCCCATTGCAATTATTAGCAATAATAATACAATTTACCATTATCATTTTTATGTCATTTCTTTCTCTTCTTTTTATTCCTTTCTCTATTGTCTCCTCATTCTCTCTCCCTTTGTCCCCCTTATAACCTTTGTAGTATATTATTTTGTTGCATTTTGGCTGTTTTGCAACCCCTTGAATTTATTTTTGTTCAGCTTGTTTCTGCAGCTTTTGAAGTCATTGTCAATAATTAGATATGCTTTGTTTGAGGAGGTGCTTTAATGAGGGTGGAAATCCTCATTAAGGCTCAGCCAACTTTTGAACAGCACAAACTCATGTATTATATATAAATCTATTTGGCTGAATAAAACATTCAATACCAATACCAGTGAGTTCTATCTGTGAATGCGGTGTAATTTTTAGGTATGTCTAGCTGTCTTTTTCTCAAGGTCAATGTTCAACCTTGAAGAGCCTAGGTAGACTCTCAGTAATACGCCAAGCGATTTTAGATTTTTATAACAATCATAACATTTATCGCATTTGTAAACACTTGATTGTGCAGTACATGTGTTTAAAACCGTAATGTTCATGTCCTTTTAAAATTTATTTGGAATATCATGCAGGGAGAAAGTAGTACAGTTTTTACTTCATTCCTTTTTGGTTTGGTATTTCAAGATGAACTACGCTGATGTTGTTAGTTAAAGCTGACCTTTTCTGTCCAACCGCATGACCTTACGACGATAAATTTACATAAAAGGATAAAAAGTATAAGGAGGATTTAACGAAATTGAACGAGATTTTAAAATGGAATATATATTGAAATTGTACGCTATTGGCGCTGCAGAAAATGAATAACCAATTAAAGTTAAGCATTCCTAATGGCAATCAGGCGCGCCCACCCGCCGGGACCAATCACGCAAAATATGTTCGTCTGTGGGCGTCGTAGGGGTGACCTACCCGTCGCAGAAGGGTGCATTCCCTCCTCGCCCTCTCCCCCCTCCCCTACTCTCCCCGCCCTTCTCCCCCTCCCCTACCTCCCCGCCCTCACCCCACCGTCCCTACCCTCACCCGCCCTCCCCCCCTCCCTACCGCTCCTCTCCCCTCCCCTACCTCCCCTACCCTCCTCGCCCTCTCCTACCCTACCTTCCCCGCCTCACCCACCTCCCTTCCCGTGGGCTAAAACCTCTGTCACTCGCCCTCCCATAGGCCACAACCCTCACCCTCACCCCACCTCCCCTACCCTCCCCGCCCTCCCCCACCTCCCTCCGTGGGCTACAACCCTCACCCACCTCCCCTCCCCTACCACCACCTCCATCCCGCAGGCAACAACCCTCACCCACCTCCCCTCCTGTAGTCCACAACCCTCACCCACCTCCCCTCCCGTGGGCCACAACCCTCACCCTCACCCCCCCCTCCCTACCCTCCCCGCCCTCCACACCTCCCCTCCGCCAAGCCACACCCTCACCGCACCTCCCCTCCCGCAGGCCACAACCCTCACCCACCTCCCCTCCCGTAAGTCCCACAACCTCTGTCACCGCCCTCCCGCAGGCCACAACCCCACCCACCTCCCCTCCGCAGGCCACACCCCCACCCACCTCCCTCCCGCAGGCCACCACCCCCACCACACCTCCCCTCCCGCAGGCCACCACCCCCCACCCACTCCCCTCCCGCAGGCCCAACCCTCATCCACCCTCCCCTCCCGCAGGCCACAACCCTCACCCACCTCCCTTCCCGTGGGCTACAACCTCTGTCACTTACCGCCCTCTACCACCTACCCTACCCTCCCCGCCCTCACCCCACCTCCCCTCCCGCAGGCCACAACCCTCACCCACCTCCCCTCCCGCAGGCCACAACCCTCACCACCTCACCAGTCACTCGCCCTCCGCAGGCCACAACTCCACCCACCTCCCCTCCCGCAGGGCCACCACCCACCTCCCCTCCCGCAGGCCACCACCCCCACCCACCTCCCTCCCGCAGGCCACCACCCCCACCCACCTCCCTTCCCGTGGGCTACAACTCTGTCACTTACCGCCTTCTACACCTACCCTACCCTCCCCGCCCCTCACCCCACCTCCCCTCCCGCCCCACAACCCTCCCCCACCTCCCGCCCTCACCCACAACCTCTGCCACTTACCGACTGTAGTTGGCACAACATCAGGGTTACTCTCGTCGGACGGTACTCTCGGCTCGTGCTTCTTCGCCCTGCTTTGCTTCCTGCAGTACTGCCTCGCCCAGACCCCGCCCGCGAGGAGGAGAAGCGCCACCGCCAGGCCGCCCACCACCTCGCCCACGGAGCTGCTGCTCTCGTGGGATCCTGGGAAGAAAGGTGGTGAGTGGGATGTATACGGATAGTGTGCGTATGTGTGTGTTTGTGTAGGTGTGTGTGTGTGTTGTAGGTGTGTGTTGTGTGTGTGTGTGTGTGTGTGCGTGTATGTGTGTGCATGTGCGTGGATGGGTATGTGCGTGTGGGTGTGAGTGCGTGCGTGTGTGTTTGTGTGTGCGTGTGTATGTGTGTGGATTTATGTGTACGTGTGGGTGGGTGAAGACAACATGTACTGCTCAAAAACAAAAACGTAATAAATATGAAATCATACCATATGTAGCTCTCACCATATATGGCTCAGTATGACATGTACTGGTAAAAAATGAAATGTAATTTTTTTTTTTCTTTTTTAATGAATTCATACCATATGTAGCCCTCCCTATATATGGCTCAGGTGTTCCATTAGACTGAGACCTACGTAGAATCAAGCATCAGCAGGAACAGTAAAATCGAACCCACAACGTACTTTAACCCCCCCCCATGCTCTTACGTCAACAAAGCACCAGTACGATTGCTTTCCTGCGACTGGTGCCATCACAAGCGCCAAAATCGGATATAGGATTAACAAACGTAACAAATATACTTAAAATCAACTATACAAAGAGTAATTGTTTATAAAAGAGCTTCTCGGTGGTTTGAATAAAGGTTTTGTGGATTTCATGAACAAAGACACCTTGGAACAAATAAGAAAATAACATAAATACATAAAAGAGCTTCTCTCCTCACCTGGCGCGGTGGTTTAAATAAAGGTTTTGTGGATTTCATGAACAAATACACCTTGGAACAAATAAGAAAAAATACATACGTACATACAAGGGCTTCTCTCTCGCGATGGTTTAAATTAAGGTTTTGTGGATTTCATCAACAAATACACCTTGGGAACAAATAAAAAAAAAAATACATACATACATAAAAGTTTCTCTCCTCACCTGGCGCGGTGGTTTAAATAAAGGTTTTTGTGATTTCATGAACAAAAACACCTTGGAACAAAAAAAAAAAAAAAAAAAAAAAAAAACATACATACAAGGGCTTCTCTCCTCACCTAGCACGGTGGTTTAAATAAAGGTTTTGTGGATTTCATGAACAAAAAAAAAAAACTCGAACAAACAAGAAAAAAAAATACATACATACATACATACAAGGGCTTCTCTCCTCACCTGGCACAGTAGTTTAAATAAAGGTTTTGTGGATTTCATGAACAAATACACCTTCAAAAAAAAAAAAAAAAAAAAAAAAACATACACACAAGACTCTCCTCACCTGGCGCGTGGTTTACATAAAAGTTTTGTGGATTTCATAAACAAATACACCTTGGAAAAAAAAAAACATACATACAAGAGCTTCACTCTTTCACCTGGCACACAGTAGTTTAGATAAAGGTTTTTGTGGATTTCATGAACAAAAGCATCCTTGAAAAAAAAATAAATAAAAATAAAAATACATACAAGAGCTTCTCTCCTCACTTGGCACAGTAGTTAAATAAAGGTTTTTTGTGGATTTCATAAACAAATACACCTTGGAAAAAAAAAAAAAATAAAATAAAATAATAATAAAATAAAAATAATAATAATAATAATAAAAAAAATAAACATAAAAAATACAAAACTTATCTCCTCACCTGGCGCGGTCCTGGAGGTGCGCGACGTGTAGGCCGACACGACGACGGGCTGCGACGTGACGGGGCCGTGACTCACGTACACCTTGATCTGGTAGCTCGTGCCGGCGTCGAGGCGACTCACGTTGAAGTTGGGACGGTTTGAGGTCACGTTGGCGAAGAGGGTGCGGTTGTCGAAGTACACCTGGGGCGGGGGAGAGAGGTTTCTTTGAGTACGTCTGGGGAAAATAGTTTTTTTTTTTTCTTCCTCTTTCTTCTTCTTTTCTTTTCATTTTCATCATCATCTTCTTCTTCTTCTTCTCTTTCTTCTTTCTTCTCTCTTCATCTTCTTCATCATCTTCTTTTTCTTCTTCTTTCATCTTTATCTTTCATTTCATCTTCTTCTTCTTCATTTTTATCTTCATCTTCATTCTTCATCTTCATCATCTTCATCCATCTTCATCTTCTTCATTTCTCTTCTTCATCTCATCTTCATCTTCATCTTCATCTTCTTCATCTTCATCCTTCAATCTTTCATCTTCATCTTCATCCATCCTCCATCTCCATCTCCATCTCCATCTCCATCTCCATCTCCATCTCCATCTCCATCTCCATCTCCTCCATCTCCATCTCCATTCTCCATCTTCATCTTCATCTTCTCTCCTCCTCCTTCTCCTCCTACTCCTCCTCCTCCTCCTCCCCCTCTTCTCTCTCTCTCTCTCTCTCTCTTTTTTTTTTATTTTTTTTTTTTATTTTATTTTTAGAAGGCGCTGGTGGAAGTGCACGTACACTCGCCCCAAGGAAAAAGGCGTTTGGTTTAAGCGTATCTAAAGATTCACTTGAAGTGCTCTGGGTAAACCTGGCTGAAGGAAGTGGGCCACTTTAAGTACAAAAGGAAAGGTATAGGTGTGTCTTATGGAGATTTTGGATTCTTTGAAGTCGAAGTACACCTGTCGGAGGAGAGAGTTTGCTTAAAGTACATAAGTACATTTGTCGGTGCTGATGTACAGGAGCCAGGAGTAGATGGAGTTCTCAGGTACATTTGGAAGTACATTTGTAAGGGAGTGATTCATCTTTGTTTCATTCTGTTTCTTCTTATCATTCATTTAGTTTATATGAAAATAAGTTTACTTTATGGACTTTCGTCGGTTTTAAAACAAACAAATTTCCCCATATCCCTCCTGGACCGCCTAACTACACCTTTCCCTAAGGGTGTTGTTTACTAGACGAATCCATGGATTTTGTTTGTTCAACTGTCGGTGTGTTGGTTAAAAAGGGTAATAAACACTGCAGGGCTTCGTTCTAATTATATAACTTTCACTATTTTCATATATTTCATTTTTTTCTTCTTCGTCTTTTCTGCTCGTGCTGTATATAACTACAAATTATGGAACCTTCACTCCTATCGGAAAGAAATGCCTGATTCCATGCGCTGGAGAGAAAGAGGTAGATAGATAGATAGAAAAAGATGGATAGATAGATAGATAGAGAGAGAGAAGAGAGAGAGAGAGAGAGAGAGAGAGAGAGAGAGAGAGAGAGAGAGAGAGAGAGAGAGAGGAGAGGAGAGAGAGAGAGAGAGAGAGAGGAGAGGGAGAGAGAGAGAAGAGAAGAGAGGAGGGAGAGAGAGAAAGAAAGAAAGAGACGGAGAGAGATAGTGAAAGCGAGAGTGAGGAAAGAGGAGGGATGAGAGAGAGAAAAAGAAAGAACGAGATGGAAAGAGATAGAGAGGAATGAGAGAAAGAAAGAAAGAAAGAGATGGAGAGAGACAGTGAGAGCGAGAGAGAGGAAGAGGGGAGGGAAATAGAGCAAGCAAATTAAGAGAGGGAAAATGGTTCAGTAAAGGAAACAAAATGAGTTTAAAAACCCCAAATCATAAAAAAGGATGTGACTCTCCCAGGAACTGAGGAAGACCAGTGTTCATAGTTCCATACCGCAAGCAACTGCAGCAAAAACCCTACAGATCATGCACTCTTTGATGATTGATCGAGCATTTGCAATTTTGACGCGATTCATTTCAATCAAACGTAGAGTAATAATAAAAAAGTCATACAACGAAAAAAAAAGAAAGGAAAGAAAAAAAAGACCTAGTAAATGGAAAGCAAAAGATCGCTGTAAAGTTCAAAAGATTATTTGATGTTTATTGATGAAATTCGTGTCAACTTGAGTAGGTATAGCTTTAACCCCGATATAAGCTTGTTTGTCGACTGTATACTCATTTGCATATCTAGTCAAACATAATGAGGAGAGAATCTGCATGACTAGGAATGCATAATGATGATGGTCGTCATATCATGAGACTGCTTGCAATCTCTGCAAGAGGAATTATGGAAAATGTATTTAACTTCCTATATTTCATTTTTGCTAACAGTATTCACAAATTACTATTTCATAGCGAGTTTATATCTCTTTTCTCTCTATGTGTACGTTTATATTAGCATGTAGTATGCTCTGTACAGATGCACGAGAGAGAGAGAGAGAGAGAGAGAGAGAGAGAGAGAGAGAGAGAGAGAGAGAGAGAGAGAGAGAGAGAGAGAGAGAGAGAGGAGAGAGAGAGGAGAGAGAAGAGAGAGAGAGACAGACAGACAGACAGACAGACAGAGACAGAGAGAGAGAATAACAGCCATGTCGATGCTCAATTTCCTCCCCCTCCCGTCTTTATACACACTTCTCGTTCGTCTCTTTATATTTACCGTTTCCATTTCCCTTTCAATTATCATATAGACAATTTCTTCGAAGACAGACATAACCGTGTTTGTTCACCGGTTCCTCCAAGATCCACCTACACCGGTGATGATTCACGAGAGAAATTAATTTCTTATGAATGAAAGAATGCTTAGCGGAGAGCCTTGTATTGACTCAATTGAAATACCTTCTCCATGGCAAGGAAGATGGAGTTGAGATTGACAATAAACAAAGTCACTTTTGCTTTTATTGTTTATGGAACGAGATAACTCCGTCGCCAGCCCATGTAGGAATGGAGAAGCAGAGGAAGAAGAAGAGGAGAATGAGAAAGGGGAGGAGAATGAGAAAGGGGAGGAGAATGAGAAAGGGGAGGAGAATGAGATGAGAAAGGGGAGGAGAATGAGAAAGGGGAGGAGAATGAGAAAGGGGTGAGCGAATGGCCAGAGAAATTAGGAATAAAGAGATAGGGAAGGAGGAATAGGAGAAAGAGGAAGGGGAAGGAGGGAGGGTGGAGGTGGTTTAGAATGAAAAAGAAGAGGAACGGAAGAGAGGAAGAGGAAGAGGAGAACGAATAAGGGGAGGAGGAATGGCCATAGAAATAGGATAAAGAGATAGGGAAGGAGGAATAGGAGAAAGAGGAAGGGGGAAGGAGGAGGGGTGGAGGTGGTTTAGAATGAAAAATAAGAGGAACGAAAGAGAGGAAGAGGAAGAAGGAGAACAAAGGGGAGGGGAAATGGCCATAGAAATGAGGAATAAAGAGATAGGGGAAGGAATAGGAGAAAGAGGAAGGGGAAGGGAGAGGGTGGAGATGGTGGTTAGAATGAAAATTAAGAGGAACGAAAGAGAGAGGAAGAGAGAAGAGAGAGAACGAACAAGGGGAGGAGGAATGGCCAGAGAAATTAGGAATAAAGAGATAGTGGAGGAGGAATAGGAGAAAGAGGAAGGGGAAGGAGGGAGGGTGGAGGTGGTTTAGAATGAAAAATAAGAGGAACGGAAGAGAGGAAGAGGAAGAGGAGAACGAACAAGGGGAGGAGGAATGGCCATAGAAATGAGGAATAAAGAGATAGGGGAGGAGGAATAGGAGAAAGAGGAAGGGGAGGGAGAGTGGGTGGAGATGGTGGTATAGAATGAAAAATAAGAGGAACGAAAGAGAGGAAGAGGAAGAGGAGAATGAGAAAGGGGAGGAGGAATGGCCAGAGAAATTAGGAATAAAGAGATAGTGGAAGAGGAATAGGAGAAAGAGGAAGGGAGGGTGGGTGGGTGGAGGAGGTGGTTTAGAATGAAAAATAAGGACCGAAAGATGGAACAAGATGCGAAAGATAAAGAAAGAGGGTGTAGTGGAAAATCAAAAGAATGCATTAGGAAGAGAAGACGACGATTAATGAAAATGTGAAGAAAGAGGAAAAACAGGAAGAGCGGTGGAATACATTGCTAAAAGAAGTTAAGTAAAAAGAGAAAAAAGTAAGAAACTCTGCCGTGAATACGGAATGAGGAGAAAGAGGAATAATGTGGAAAAAAAACAATAAAAGAGATAAGGAAAAGAGAAGATCGGGAAGCAGAGAAGGAGGAATAGGAAGAAAAAAAAAGATAAGTTGGTGCACAAAGAAGAATATGAGAAAAAAATGGTAAACTGATGGAAAAAATGCACAAGACGTGAGAAAAAAGAAGGAAATAAAAATGGTAAAACATAAAAATAAGATGGAGGACAGCAGAAAAAAAAAAAAAAAATAAAAAAAATAAATAAATAAATAAATAAAAGGGGTTTATGAGAATAAGTAATAAAATGAGAATAATAGGTTGATATCAAATAAGAAACTGAGGAGGAAGACATATAAGAAGAGTAGAAAGAAAAAGAAAAATAATAAGAGAAGGTGGGAGATGGGGGAAGGAAGATAGGATGATAAAAAAATGGAAGGAATGGCAAATGGAAGAAAGGTATTTAAGGAAAGGGAGAAGAAGAGAAGGAGGTAAAGAAATAAAGAAAGGGAAGAAGACTAAAGGGATGAAGAGGAGATGGAAAAAATAAGAGATGAAGAAGAGAAATGAGAGAAAAAGAAGAAGAAATAGAGGGAAAAAGGAAAATAGAGAAGGAGAAATAATAAGGAAAGAAGAAGAAATAAAAAAAATAAATAAATAAGAGGGAAATAAGAGGAAATAAGAGTAGAAGGAATAAGAGAGAAAAAAGAGTAAATAAGAGCAGAAGAAGAAAGAGGAAATTAGAGGAGAAGTAGAAAGAAGAGGAAATAAGAGAAAAAGAAAAAGTAAGAGGGAAAAAAGAGGAAAAGGGAGAAGAGGAAATGAGAAGAAGAGAAGAGGAAAGGAGAGAGAATGAAGAGAAAATCAGAGAAGAAGAAAAGGAACTAAGAAAAGAAGAAGAAAATAGAGGAAATAAGAGAATAAAAAAAATAAAGAAGAGAAAATAAAAGGAAAAGCTAAAAGAGGGAATAAGAATAAAAAATAAGAAAAGAAGAGAAATAAAGAAAACGAGAGGGGATAAGAAAAAAATAAAGAAGAGGAAATAAAAGGAAAAGAAACGAGAGAAAATAAAAGAATAAAAAATAAAGAAAAAGAAATAAAAGAAAAGAAGAAGAAGAAAGGAAAGAATAAGAAAGCGGAGCAGGGAAGCGGGAAGAACACACATCGCCTCTGTCTTCATCAGCAGGAACTTAAAAGAAAATATTCAGTCTTTAGCTTCAACTTGGGATGAAGAGAGACTTCTCGACGTCCATCACTGGTCGACGTGTTCCCTCGTTTTAATTCCTTTCTTTCCTTTTTTTTTTTCTTTTTTTTTTTTTTTTTTTTTTTTTGCTTCCCTTTTCGTTTTTTTTCGTTTTTTTTTTTTGTTGTTGTTGTTTTTTTTTTTTTTTTTTTTTTTTTTACTTTTTTTCTGCCTACCTTTTCGTTTTTTTTTGTTACTTTTCGACGTGTTTTCCCGTTTTAATTCCTTTCTTTCCATTTTTTTTTTTTTTTTTGCTTCCCTTTCCATTTTTTTTCTTCCCTTTTTTTTTTTTACCTTTTTTCTGCCTACTTTTTTTTTTTTTTTTTTTTTTTTTTTTTTTACTTTTCGACGTGTTTTCCCGTTTTAATTCCTTTCTCTTTCCATTTTTTTCCTTTTTTTGGCTTTGTTACTTTTTAATGTGTTTCCCCGTTTTAATTCCTTTGTCTTTCCCTTTTTTTTTGGGGGGGGGGGGGTTGTCACTTATCGACTTGCTTTAACGCTCTTCAATTTCTGCACATTTTTTTTTCTTCTTCTTCTTCTTTTTCTTTCTTTTTTTTTTATTTATTTATTTATTTTTTTTTTGCTTTCGACGTCTATCATTCGTTCTCTTGTGTGAAGGTGACAGTCTTTTAAGTGAGAATGAAGCAATACGTAAATGTAAAAAGAAACAACTGGAATAATTTTTTTGACCTACAGATAAATGAAAATATATATATAAATAGCATTAGAAAAGAAAGGAAAGAGAAAGAGATAAATTGATATCTCTATCCCAGAACTACAGTATGATATGCTATGATATGCTATCTATATTGTACTAGAATATTAGACATTATACCAGAAAGACATTGAATAGGACTTCATTTTCATCGTGCGTGTCTTTCAGCAATATAGAATGGACTGAATTGGGAGAATGGTTCAATGGTAATCAAAATGATGGTTGTTCAGTGCAATATTGGTAATGGGAAAAGGGAGGATAAAAAAAAAAAAAAAAAAAAAAAAAAAAAAAATATATATATATATATATATATATATATATATATATATATATATATATATATATATATATATATATATATATATATATATATATATATATATATATACAAAATGGTGGTAAAATTTAGAATATCGTGAGAACTTCACCAAAAAAAATGGAAATGAAGACAAAATACCGCTAATATTGCACCATTATTGCAATTTCACAACCATGCCCCCCCCCCACACACAAAAAAAAGGCAATCGACCCATGCACACGAGAAAGACAGCATGCATGGACGCCAAGTGCCACCGCCGTCGAGAGCAAAGGCACTCACCTCGGCGCGGTACAAGGTGGTGCCAGCTGTAGCCACGTTGGGTCGCTGGCAGGTGAGGCTGAGTGAGGAGGCTGTGATGTTGGCCAGGCGACAGGAGGACAGCGGGAGGGGCATCTCTGTGGAGGAGAATTGAGACACAGACGATAAAGAAGGGATAATAAAACAACGGCAAAAGGTTAGATAGACCCGTTCCTTCCCCCCAAAAAAGTGGGGGGTGGGGGTGGGTATAGGTGGGTAAGTCTGCAAGGCAGGTATTGGAAACGCACCGAAGAGCAATGGAATGTTCGAGAATGTGTGTTACCAGCGGGAGGAATGTCACGGGGAGGCTATTTTTAAACATCAGATAGCATGCACGGGTGAGAGAAGAGGAGGGGAGGGAGGAGGGGGAGGGTTTGGAAGGTGTGGAAAGGAGGAGGAGGAAGGAGGAGAGGGTGGAGGGCGGGTTTGGAAGGTGTGTAGAAGGAAGAGGAGGAAGAGGAGGAGGAGAGGAAGAGAGGAAGAGGAGGTGGGCGGGTTTGGAAGGTGTGGAAGAGGAGGAAGAGGAGGAGGAGGGTGGAGGGGGGTTTGGAAGGTGTGGAAGAGGAGAAGAGGAGGAGGAGGGTGGAGGGGGCTGGTTTGGAAGGTGTGGAAGAGGAGGAGGAGGGTGGAGGGGGCTGGTTTGGAAGGTGTGGAGAGAGAGGAGGAGGTGGAGGGGCTGGTTTGGAAGGTGTGGAAGAGGAGGAGGAGGAGGAGGGGAGGGTTTGGAAGAAGGGAAGAGGGTGGAGGGGCGGGTTTGGAAGCGTGGAAGAGGAGGAAGAGGGGAGGAGGTGGAGGGGTTTGGAAGTGTGGAAGAGGAGGAAGAGGAGGAGGAGGGTGGAGGGGGCGGGTTTGGAAGGTGTGGAAGAGGAAAGAGGAGGAGGAGGAGGGTGGAGGGGGCGGGTTTGGGAAGGTGTGGAAGAGGAGGAGAGGAGGGGCGGGGGAGGGTGGAAGAGGAGGAAGAGGAGGAGGAGGAGAGGAGGGGGCGGGTTTGGAAGAAGAGGAGGAGGAGGGTGGATGGGGGGTTTGGAAGGTGTGGGAAGGAGGAAGAGGAGGAGGAGGGTGGAGGGGGCGGGTTTGGAAAAGAGGAGGAAGAGGAGGAGGAGGGTGGAGGGGGCGAAGGAGTTGGAAAGGTGTGGAAGAGGTGGAGGAAGGGAGGTGGAGGGGCGGTTTGGAAGGTGTGGAAGAGTGGAGGGTTTGGAAGAAGAGGAGGAGGAGGAGGAGGGTGGAGGGGCTGGTTTGGAAGGTGTGGAAGAGGAGGAGGAGGAGGAGGAGGGTGGAGGGGGCGGGTTTGGAAGAGGAGGGAAGGAGGAGGAGGAGGGTGGAGGGGGTTTGAAGTTGGAAGAGGAGGAAGAGGAGGAGGAGGGTGGAGGGGCGGGTTTGGAAGGTGTGGAAGGGAGGAAGAGGAGGAGGAGAGGGGCGGTTTGGAAGGTGTGGAAGAGGAGAAGAGGAGGAGGGGGGAGGGGGCGGGTTTGGAAGGTGTGGAAGAGGAGGAAGAGGAGGAGGGGTGGAGGGGGCGGTTTGGAAGGTGTGGAAGAGGAGGAAGAGGAGGAGGAGGGTGGAGGGGTTTGGAAGGTGTGGAAGAGGAGGGAGAGGAGGGGAAGGGTGAAGGGAGGAGGAGGAGGAGGGTGGAGGGGCGGGTTTGGAAGGTGTGGAAGAGAAGAAGGACGAGAATGAGGAAAAGCAAAAGGAGAGAGATGTGGGTGAAGTACAGGTAGGGAGAGTTAGGGTAAAGGAAGGAAGGAAGAGAGGAAAGGAAGAAAGGAAGAGCTAGGGTGATAAAAGGGGAAGTCAAAGGAGCTGGGAGTTCAAGATGAAGTGGAGGGCTGAGCGAAGGGGGAGGAGGAGAAGCACAAAAGGAAGAGGATGTGAAGGAAGGTAGGCTGCAAGAGGAAGAGAGAGAAAAATGTAAGAAGCAGGATGAAGAAAGAAAGAGAGAGAAAGAAAGAAAGAAAAAGGAAGGA